GGGGAGGAGGCTGCCGGGATGGGGCATGGGGGGCTTACTCTGGGGTCCACCCTCCAGCCTCAGGAAACAGGGTGTCCCAGGTCAGGGGAAACTGAGACCACCCTCGGTGTCCCCGATCCGGGACAGGGGTGTAAGGGATGAAGGTCTCTCAGGGCCGCGAAGTCAGGAGGCCGTCACAGGGGGGAGGAGGCCCTGTTGCCTCCGCTCCCCTCAGCCCCAGGGTCTCGGTCCGAGACACCCCCTCCTCCGGCTCTGGACGCCACCGCCACCGCACCGCCGAGCAGTTACATCCCCAGAGCTCCGCCGAGGCACCCAGCCGGGACCTGCCGGCAGGGGCCGTGGACCACCGAGGGGCTCGTCCGCCTCAGGACTGGGACCCGGCTCCGGCTCCAGCTCCCGCACCACTCAGGGACAGACACCGACCCCCGCGGCCGCCATGATGGATTATGAGCCGCTCCACAACGAAGCCCGCATTCATGTATTTTTGATCACACCTCAATAAGACACAAAAAATTTTTAAAGCTGCTTCCAAAATTGGCAACAATGAGTTAATAGGCATGTTGGAAAAAAGGGAAGGCATTTTGAGGAAGTTTAATGGCAGTGAGTCTTTTCTGTAATATTTGTTTAAACATTTACCATATATTTTGATCATGTTGCATATATTATGAGAACACATAATTTAATGCAGTTGGCTAATTTAAGTAAATTGCCTCAAAACTTACATGAGTTCACTGTAATTCTCAGATATTTGTACAAATGCCTCTACTATGTAATCCATAATTGAATTCCACCCTCTGATAATGTTCTTGAGACTCATCTTTGCTCTTAGATACCAAACCTAGAAAATTAATGGTTAAAAAGAGGTGGGATTTTATCTGAAAATTCCTATTCCAACAATTTCTGAATGGGCATTTAACCCATGGAAAGGTAAGGAGACATCAATTTATTATTATTATTATTATTATTATTATTGTACCAGGGATTGACCCCGGGTCCTTGTGCTTGTGAGGCAGGCAGTGGAAACACTGAGCTAAATCCCTGACCCCAAGGAGACGTCAATTTATGACCTAGGGCTTCTTGTACCTGAGCAAGGAATGGAAAGATGAATACAGCTGTCCTTTCTAGGAGTTTGGAACATGATGGGGCTCTTACCTATTTGATGCAGTTTTCCCTTTGCAAGGCATTTCTCCGGATTCTCTGTGTCCTCATAGATGCTGGGAAATCCTGGGGCACTGGATGTTACTTCCCCTCCTACACTATTCTCAGTGCTGATGCTGCACACAGCTTGTGCTACGAAGAGCACATTCCCCAAATTTGAGTGTTAGTTCTCTCAACTATCGACTGGTTTTTGTACTAATTATGTGAACCAAAATATAGGGAGTTGGGTGAGCTACTAAAATATGGACATTCTGGTGAGATTTTCCTGTTAAGCTCACCATTACCTCTAATACAATAGATTAATTTTTCTTATAGATTAAATAGCACCTTGGGCTAGAGAGGGAGAGCATAATTACATATTTTCTTAACTAACAGAGCTAAAAGCACTGGTGCTTATATAGACAACATTAGCTATAATACTTTTAATTAGCTAATGCAAAAACATTATTTTCTCTTTGCTGTGGAAGTAAGATGAAAGTTGTAAACTCTTTGATGTCTATTGACTTCGAGATTTTATGGAACAGCAACTACTTAGGGACAATTTATAAACATTGGCATTGTCTGCAGAGAAATTTGGAGAATCAGAGCAAAATCACAAAGAAGGATTTGGTCTTTTATTGGGGGATAGATAACCTGGAACTGTTTTCTTTCCTTCCATTTGTTCTGTATTCATCTTATAAAATAATAATTTTCTGGGACAAGTGTTTGGCAGACTATCGATCAAAGGTTGTTTTGTCCTATGCTAAGAGGAGTTCTCTAAGTGTCTGAAGGTACAAAGACATGTTGATTGTTTTGCACATTTCTACTCCCTAAGATCAGCATCTTCCTTCTTCTGGCTCATATGTGTAACCAAGAGAATTTCTTCTTGTTTCAATGCCTCCTATGAAGTCATTAAGGACAGAAGATCTGAGTGGAAAGGAAGATGAGACCGGAAAAGAACCCTCGATTACTCATGAGAATAACAAGAGTGTTCCGGGATTGCAAGGCTAAAATCTGCTGTGCTCCTGGGCCATCAGTTTGAGAATAACTGTTCCTGTAATGAGTAACCTGCGGCAGTGGGTCACAGTCAGGAGTGAGATTTTGAGACCTCCCATTATCTATGCTTACTGGGGAAAAAGAATGTAATAAATATTTTGAAACTCTCAAAAAAGTTCTATTTTAAAAGGAAATTTTTGTAAAATTTCTGGCTTCTTCCACTGTTTTATTCAATCCAAATCTCAATCCAGCTGAAACTGCAGGTGAGTGTCTTCTGATGCTAAAGCAACTTGAAGAGTCATTCCTACAGGTAAAGAAAAGATCATGATCACTCTACAGCTAAGCATCGTCTGAATCCAAAACTGCAGCTTTCTTCTCTCTGTTCAGGATGGCCCCATAGCACCATCACTTAAACATTTAAAATATTCTGTCTAGGTTATATTGTTTTCTTATATGACTGCTAAAATTCTTACAGTAGAATACGGTGCCATGGGGATGGATGGGGGAGGAATTGGTATAGATTTTCTTTTCCTCATCAAATTGTGATGGCTTCTATGTTACTCAGCTTCCCATCACTGTATCAAATACATCACACTTAGAAAAGGATTATTTTAGTTCCCAGTTTTGGACCAGTGCATGCCTAATTGGCCCTGTTGCTTTTACCCTATGACAAGCCTGCACACCATGGCACAATTGCATGGCAGAGCAGGAACATTTACCTCATAGCCAAGGAGTAAAAGAAAGAAGGAGGGAATGGATGCCCTTCAAGGGCAAGACCCCAATTATTTGAAAACCCCTCACTAGGTCCCACCTCTTAAAGTTTCTACTACTTCCCAATAGTGCCAAGCTGGGGACCAAGCCCCTGGGGCATACATATACAAACCATATCACCCTGCAAAATCTTATTTCTTGACTATCCAGTGAAACGAAGTTTTATCTCTCCTCTCCCCATAGGTGTTCTCATATAATTCATTGTCATGTTTACATATCATATATACATCTGCCTCTGCTTGTCCTCTCTTTTCATTCTTTTAACTATATGCAATAACTGTGTTATCATAGATTATTAGGTCATCCAAGTGGAAATCTCTAGCAGATGTATTAGAGGTATAATAGGGACTGGAGGAGGGACCAAGGGAAAGGAGAACGAGACCAACAGACAGACAGACAGACAGAGACAGAGAGACAAACAGAAAGTGAGACAGACAAGAGAGAGATCCCACAGAGTAGTTTTGTGAGGTGAAAGGAACTTTTTGTAGTAGAAATATAAAACTTCTGGTCCTCTCAGAAAAGTTCTAAAAGAGGTTTCTACATAAAATAGGAGGTTAAAATAGTTTGGAAAAGTCTCTTCATTGCTGATAATAATAACAGTTTGTGATAAGGAACCACAAAATCCAAATTCACTCTAAAATATGTAAAGTGGGCGTGGGCTATTAGTCTCTTGTGTCTACATCTGTTTGTTTGGGGTGTGTGCCATTTTCTCCATTCCTATGTTATTTTTCTCTTCATGTGCCTGAGTTTTCTGGAGGCATTTCTTCTTTTTCACCTTACATTTTATTTTACATTGCCTTCCATTTCCATATTTTAAATTAATTGTTATTGATTTGTTTTGAAAAATTTTAAATAATTTTTCCTATTCTCTTTATTTGGAGACTTATGTTTGTCTTTCTATTACTTGGTCTCCTAGGGATAATTCTTATTGAGTAATTTCTTTTATACTCTTTGGTATATGATCAACAAATTTCTTACAATATTTTTCATT